CCTCCTCGTCTCTTCTTCTTCCTCCTCCTTCCCCCTCTCCCCCTCCCCCCTCCCCCCACCTCCTCCAGGTCCTACCCACGCTTCATTTATACATTCTCCTTGGAGACAGTCTGTTTCATTGAATTGTGGGCACTCTGCTATTCCAGTCCTCACTGAAACATTCCCCAGCAGGCTGATGCTGCTTTTCCCCATTTGTCCCTCTCACCTGAGGTTCACGAGGTACCCTATAAATTACATCCCATTGCACAGCGTCCCTGAAATTTTCACCCTTGAGCTTCTGAAATAGCAGCAGCTATTACTGCGAGCCTCCCCTGGCTTTATGGCTTTCTTCTCCAGGGCAGGCATGGAGCAGATGAAGGAGCTGCTGTGTGCTTTCAAAAGGGAAGCTGTAGGATCACATTCACGCTAATGGGAAAAGGAAGCCAAGCAATCACGTGACTTATTCAATAACAAAACTCCCCATAGGGCTGAACCCTCTCCCCCTGCGTCCTGTGGGAACCTGTCGCTCCCCACCGTGTCTTTGTTTTCCTCCCCTCTTCTCTCCTCGTTTCTGGCTTCTGCCCTGCTGAGCAGAGAGGTGCCAGTCCTCTGACGCCCCAAATGGGGGTGCTCACAGCTACCCTCAGGGTTAATAAGGCAGCCTGCTACAGCCGTGTGTGTTGGAAGGATAAGGGATGAAATTGGCCATCAATTGGATTGAGTGTTATGGATGAGCATGAGGCTTTAAAGCACTGAGTCAGTTCATTTTGCATTTGAGGTGTTAGCCTCCTTGCTGGATTTTTGGATCCACTCCCCTTACATGATCAAGCGCTGAGCCTTGCACACAGTAGGTGCTTAATAAATACACACTGCATTGGATTCGTTGCAGCTTGAGACAAGGGCTTTGCTTCTCTGCTCCTCAGTTTCCTCATACGCCAAATGAAGACCCTTTCTGTTTTTCTACAATTCTGCCAAGTCTCAGACCTTCGGAGATGACCTCAGTGGATTTCAGCTCCTTCAAGGGGCCGGTGCCCCCAGCTCCCCCGGCCACTAACCCTGCTGGCAGAAGAGGGGTCCCCTCTGCTTCTGCCAGACTGGCAGCCCTCCTCCCTCACTTGCAGCCTCTCTGCCATCACAGTGGATGAAGCTCCCGGGAGTCACACCTCTCTCCGAGTGACCTATGACTACAAGCTCGGCTCGCTGCTCTGTCGGATAGGTGCACAGGCACCATGCCACCACCTCTGCCTTGGGGCTAAATGACCCACTCATGCACCAGCTCCAGCGTGGATTGTTGCAGGACTCATCAGCCCACGGCTGGGTCATCTCCGCCTCTTGCTGCTGCCTGTGTTCTGGCTTTCCCCTACACATTAGCTCCTCTGGGGGACTGAGGAAGGCTGGGGACAGGAGGGGTAACTCACATAATAAATTGAGTTACTTGTTATTAGCTCTAGCCAAAGGCTCGGTGGGGGAGGGTGGTCCAATTTAAGGATTAAAATGAGGTTTGGGATTTTTGATGAATTCCAAACTGTTATTAGTTGTGCCCAGAATATTGCAATAGATTTCTAATGGGTCTTTTGTCCCCTCCAAGCCTTACATAGGCCCTCCCCAACTCAAACATTCACAAGGGCTCCCCATTCCCTACACAATAAAGTTCACACTCTTTTGCCTAGCTCTGGACCCAATCTCCTGCCCCTGGGCCACAACTAGGCTAGGCAACTGGGGCTTTGGCTGAGAGCACTGACTTGTTTTTCTTGGGGGGACAGGATGCTTCCTCCCTCTGGAACTTCCTCCTCAATCTTTTCTTTTTACACCCTTTCATATTCTTGCACTCATGGAAATCTGGCTTTCTCCAGAAGATACCACATGACTGACTGCTCCCCAACACACTGGGCTAGGTGGAGGAGGAGGAAAGGCACCAGTAAATGTGGGGGCCCCCCAAGGCTCTTTCTGGGGTCTGCTTTCCTTCTTCCTCAATCTCAAAAGCTCTCAAGCAGCCAAGGCTCTCTATGTAGGCGATGGAGGCTCCATCAGCCTTCATCTCCTACCGCCCCAGATTAACCACTGCTTCCCGGACAGCTCCGCCTGGATATCCCAGGAGCATCCTCAAGTGGGACAGTGAAAAGAACATTCCTTCTGGAGTCGGAGAACCTGGGTTCAAATCCCGCCTCAGACATTACTGTGTTAAAGTGACATCCCTTCACTTTCCTTTGGCTCATAGTGGCATAGCGGAGAAAACACTGGACTTGGGATTCAGGAAGACCTGGGTTCAAATCCAACCTCAGATACTTCAGAGCAGACATGTCACTTAACCTCTGCCTGCCTCAGTTTTCTCATCTGTAAAATGAGTGGGTTGGGTTTGGCCTAAGGCCTCTTCTAGCTCCCTTTACCTCCTCTTTCTCCTTTGTTCCTACCCCCAAGTCCTCTGCCCACCCTGCCTCCAAATCCAGAGCTCTTTGCACTGCATCCATCCCAGCCTGGCTCCAATCTCTCCGGACATTAATTCTCTTTGGAGCTCCTCCAGCCCACCCAATGGGCCCTCTCCCTGTTCTTCACTCATGGCATTCTATTTCTCATCACCAGACCTTTGCACTGACCGCCCCCCTGCCTGGCATACCCTCCCTTCCAGAATCCCTCTTTTCCTTCGAGTTCCACCTTCTGGTATGAAGCCTTTCCTGACCCCCCAGGCTGCCAGGACCCTCTCTCTCTCCTAAACCATTTTGTATTTATCTCTATTTCTTTTCTTTATTCCATATATACTTACACTTGTTCTCATCTCCCCCAATACTGTATAAGCGCTCTGAAAACAGAGACTCTTTCATTCTTTATATTTGTGTCTCCAGCAAGAAGCCCAGGCTTGTTGATTGAATCAATGGCCAAACTCTGTCTAACAGCCCTTCCCCTCTGGACATTCAAGGCCTTTACCCTGGGTCAGATCTTCATCACCTCTCAGTGGCCCTCTCGCTCCCGTACATAATCCACAAAGCTGTCAGTTCCTAAAACACAGATCTGAACATGACACCCTCTACTCAACCATCTCCCATGGCTCGCTATTTCCTGTTTGTGGCCTGGCATTTAAAGCCCTCCCAGCCCCCTCCCACTGACATTTCTGGCCGTAGCTCAGCTCTGCCAGCTGTCTCCCATACTCAACGTTCTCCCCTGAGGCCTCTGCACACGGGATCTGCCGCCTCTGGAAGGCATCTCCCTCTCCTCTGCTTCACGGGGGCCCCGATCTCAGCTCTTCACGTGCTTGCACGTTCTCCTTCTAGAAATTACTTAATGAGTAAGACTCCTGTGGCAGAGAAGGCACTGACCTGCACTAGCAGAAGGAGCTTCCTCACCGAGGAGGTCCCTAAAGGAATAGAATCACAGGTGTGACCCCTCTCTCTCTGCTTCCTTTGTATTTACTGGCCTGCCTCTTTGCTCTCTTGACAGAAAGCAAATACCACCAGGTCGGAGATTTTTGTTTCCATCTTTGTACCCCCAGGGCTTGATACCATTTTACTGAGGTCAGCGGAAGCCAGAAGCCTGACATTCTCCGCCCAGACCTCGCCCTCCCGTCTTTGCCTCCTCCTTTCAACACTTCCTCTGAGCCTCACCTCAGCCCCCAGGTCTCCTGCTTTTCCTGCTCTCTACAGGCCCGACCATTCACCTGCCGCCTCTCTTGCACCCTCGATGCCCCTGCTCGCTGCCTCCTAAGGCCAGTCACGCCCAGCTGGGCTGCAGCCTGGGATCCTCTCCACAATCCAATTTCTTGGCTCATTTTCTCGAGCTGCTCCGGAGAAGCGTCCTGTCAAAAGTCATCCCGAGCCAGGCCCTCGCCCCAGATTTATTGATTCTGGGGGCAGTGCTCTTCATACAACTCATCCTTTCCCCAGGCACCAAATCTGCCGTTTCTTCTTTGTCAAGGAAAAGAAAGCAAGCAACCACCTTGAAAAAGCAGGGATGTTTCATGGCAGCTGTACGGTGCCCTCCCTCCACTGCCTCCCCAGAATCCACAAACGTCCTCCCCCAAGGTGTCTAGGACGGCGAGTCCTAGGAAACAGATGTGATCTGATTTGGGGGAGGCATAGTCCTGATTTACAGAGACTAGGCAACTTTGCACCTTCTGTTGTCTTTAACCAAAGAAGGGCACCTTGTCTCCAGTGAGTAAGTGGGGTGGGTGGGTTTCCCCTCTTCCTGCCCAGCTCTCACTCCTCTCCCCTCTCAGGGTTGGGGGGCAGGAGGGCACACATCTGTGTGTCTGCATATACAGAAATACATATTTGTGAGCGTGCATACACATATATACACACACAGACATACATCCACACATTTATATTTGCAAATACACATAGGTATACATACACACAGTGTTTTATACTACATGCATAAGTGTAGATATACACACATACATATACACATATGTGTATGCGTGTGTGTGTGTGTACTCAGGGGTCTCCTGATCTACACCCCACACTACACCATCCCTGATCAATTCCCCTCAATACATACAGTCACTGTTTGTAAATGAACAGATGGTAATAAATGAATTTAAAGCCATTTTTCTTGAGCAGGTGGGTACCATTCAAGAGGAGTGGGGTGGAGGAAAAGGAAAGAGCTTTTGTTAAGCACCTACCACGTGCTGGACACTGCCTAATGTGTTTACACATATTATCTTATTATTAGAATTTCTCAGAATTTAAAGTCGCATCAGACCTTCGCAGTCACCCAGGGCAGGAGTTCTTTACTGGGCACTTTGATGAGCTTATTTCAGCAAAATCAGATTGTGATGACTATATTTCAACACAATCTGTTTCCACTGTAACCCCCTGTATTTTGTTTTATGCATTTACAAATGTTTTTCTGAGAAGGGGTCCTCAGGCTTCACCAGACTGACTGACAGAGGGGTCCTTGACACATCACAAATGGTTAACAGCCCCTGGCCAAGTGTGACCTCTTCACTTTCCAGACAAAAACCAAGAACAGAAATGGGGAGTGAGTCGTCCAAGGTCACTAGCATTACATTACAGGGCAGGGCTGGAGCTCAGGTGTTCTATCATCAAAGCCCGGAAGCTCCCGCGACATCCGCAGCAATGGCCCTTTGAAAGAAATGGTCCATCCTAGCTGCTGGCAGGATGATCCAGGTGCCCCAGAGCAGCATGGGAAGGAACCTTGGTTCAGGAGTCCCAGGCCCTGGGGCCCATTCATGGCTTTGGATACTGTGTGACCTTGGGTAGGTCAGATCCCTTCTCTTGGGCTGTGGTTTTCTCATCTGAAAAACTGAGTGGGCTGGAATATGTGAGCAGCTCCCAATGCAATGGTTCAAATGTAGCAGGGACGGGTTTCCTAAGGGGAGCCAGGACCTGAGAAGACCCTCCGCAGCCCCTGCA